TATAATTACTGCAGTATGGTAGCTGACATAAATTATATTTATTATTTATATAACTTTGATTTCTTTTTCTAAGTAATATAATATAAAGTAAAACTATCTAACATACATTTTTTCATGAGAATATTTTAGGATTTATTTATGTTTTATATTAATCTACTATACAAAGTTAATTTAATTTCTGTCAAAGTAATATAATATTCTATATTATTCTTTATATACTTATATATCTTTTAAGTATTTAATCAATAATAAATAATAATAATTTAGCTTTTTTTAATATTTCAATCTCCGCTCTTTAATAACTCAGTTAATAAAAAGTGAAAGATGTTTTTAATAAATAAATCAAATTAAATAATAATATCAAAGATAATAGAAATATTTAGTTTAAATCTTTAAAATATTAAAGTATCTTTTACATTTTATATAAAAAAGTCTTATTACAGTAAAATCTTATTTTATATTTACTATATTAAATGCTTCTAAATATATTTTTTTAAACAATATAAAAAGTCTTTTTATATATAATAGATATTTTGATTAATTATATCTTAAATTTAATAGCTCTATAAAATTTATTATAATATAAAATAAATAATATCAGGTATTTGAAGTTTATAGAAAAATAAAATAATATATATATATATATATATATAAATAACTAATCTCTTTTTATAATATTATTTAAATTTGATAATTAAATAGTTTTTATAATTATTAAGAATAAGAAGACAATACTAGCCTATTATTTTTCAAATTATATATATATTAAAATATTAAAACTAGTTAAATATAAGTTTATTATTTAGTATTTATTTATTTATTATCACTAATACTAAATTATTAATTATTTAAAAATAACTTTAAACTACCTTTTTATTATATTTTACCTGTAAAAATAATTTATGAAAAATAATATATTTTCTCTAGTATTATAATAATTAAAATAAATCATTTATAATTTATAGATTATATAGATCTCATATTCATTTAATAAAATTTAATACTGCAGATAATCCTTATAATTAAAATTATTCTTATTCAATAATATATTCTATTTATATTATAAGTATCATGCACAAGAATATTATATTTTTATATAATATTCTATATTGATCCAAATTATTAAATTATAATATTAATATTCCTATATTTTATATATTAATAAATAAAATATTAAGTATATTTAGACTTTAATTTAATCTAATAATATTAAATAAATTAATTAATCCAGTATTTACTTATAAAAATATTATTTTTTTATTCTAATTTTCGAAAACCAAAAGGACCTCTGTAAGATATTATACTTTTATAATAATAAATAAATAATCTTAGAAATCTAATTTCAGAATTCTATACTTTAATACTAATTTATTATTATTGTATAATTTTTTTAAGAATTATTTGTATTTCACCACAAGGCTTGATCCCATTTAAATAATTTTTTAAGAATTTATCTTAATATTAGGTACTGTAATATATATTTTCTTAATAATAAATTAACTATAATTAAAGATTTTACAGGCAAGTATTAATTTTCTATCTTATAAAGATCTTTTATATATTTAAATAACTTTAATATTACTAAATTAAGCAAGATTAAATATCACATATTATATAAAGATTTAAAGTAGTAAAAATCACTACACCAGCTTATTATTATATTACTTTATTATCTGAATATGTTATAAAATAGATAATATATAAAAGCAAGTCAAAAATCTTGTAAAACTTTAATTATAACTTAATATTTTCATGTATTTTATCTAGTATAGTAATAAATATATACCAGTCATAGAACTCTAGATAATAAGTATATATAAAAAGGATTATATAAATAATTATTATAAAATAAGATTCAGGATACTATCTAGCCTAAATATTTTATATAGTTAATATAATATATAAATTAGCAGGTCTCTTATAAAGTAATCCATGGTATATATAATAATAATAAATAATAATAATTTATTATCTTACATAGGTCAGCAGTACCAATCTCAAAAGATAATATTTTTTAGATAATCTAGTTTTCTATATGAATTAATAACAAAATATTTCCCAATATAGTATTAAAATCTCATTAAATAAGTATAATTATAGACTTCAAAGACTTATTTATATAAGCTTATCTTATTAGTTACTAGAATTATATGATTTTATCTTCTTAATTTATTTATGATATAAGATTTAATACATTAGTAATTATTAGTTTATTATATATTAATCAATATAGAACTTTATACATATATTATCTTTATACCTGCTTTTTTCTATTCAATTGTTTAATTATATTATACTAGTACAGGGATCTTAGTAAATCAGAACTTAAATTAATATTTTGTTTCTTATTCTTTTAAAACTAGTACTTAATCAGCCAATCAATAAATTATATATATTTTCTATTTAATTTCTAGAAGATAATATAGATGGAAATTACCAATAATTAAATATTTGTTATAGAAAAATTTATAAACTCATGAAAAGTTTCCAGTATAAAAATATTTTTTTAGAATTTTAAATTATTCTTTAATATTATATATATAAATTTAGAATTTATATCTAGATTCTGAAAGACCAGAATATTAAAATATTGAAAATAATATTAAATAATTTATATTTATAAATATCATTCCTTATGAATAAAGAAACAGATCCAGAATATATACTTCTAAATATTATTATATTTTTAAATAGATTATATGACTATAAAAACAGTTCCGTAGAAACTATATATAATTATTTATAGTATTTAATAATTCACATATAGCTCCCGAATAATTATTCTACAAAAATTCTATATTTCTCTTATGAAAATATATATTATGATCAAGAATTTTTTAATAGTTAATCAATAATATGCTAAGTTATATGTTCATTTATTATTATTATTATTATTTTTGTTATTATAGATAGGAGTCTTTTAGTGAGATTATAAATATATTAATATTTTGATATTCTAAGACTTTTAATCTAGAATTTCTATAATATAATATAAGATTATCTCTGGAAAGCTTTATAATACCTATTATGATATCTTTTATTCTAAGCCGTTATAATCTTTTTTTCTCAACTTTTAAAATTACTTTATATACTATAATTAGCTAATTGCTTAATTATATAAAAAATAATGATATTTTTATATATTAATTATAGTAATACCAGATTATCTTTAAAAACATGTACATAATACCTGATTGAAAAATTAATAAGATAATAACTAGTATACTTCATTATTAATATGAAATTATATAAATAAATAATTTAATTAATTTATATTAATATTTATATTCAATATTCTAATCCAGGAGATATTTATACATATATAATTCTATATTTTTCATATTATATGGATTAAAAAGTCATTTATAAAAAGACTATAATTTTTATATATCAATTTTTATAAAGCAAATCCTTATTATCATATTAGAGCAGTCAGACTATTTAACTATTTTAATAGGTTATTTATAATATAATTATCTTTAATATAAAATTTAATAACTAGTATTAAATATAGTAAATTATATTTAGTATTTAATAAATTTTAAGAATTTTTTTCAATTTTAATATTATTATATAAAATATTTTATTTATTTTGATTTTTTAAATACTTTTTATAAAAGCTAGTAATTATAGAGATTAATAGATTTATATTAGATTATAAAAAATGATTTACTGCTGGCTGAGAGCAGCCAGACTTAATAAAAAAATAATATAATAATAAGTAATATTCTAGAATTATATAATTTTTATCTTATTTGTCTTATTTACTTATATTATATTACTTATTTATCTTTATATAATTATACATTTTTCTCTGAGTTCCTTTTACTATATTAGAAATTCTTGTTACATAGCACCAAATATGACTGTTTGAACAGCTTCCACAGTTATTATGTTATAAAAAATTAGAATTTAGCTAATTAACTTAAGAAAAGTATTTGTACCCGTGGAGATTCCAAAATTTTATCAGATATAATACAAAAAAATACAAAATATCTTAAATATATTTTTATTTGTTCTCCTAGGAGTAGATACAGTACTTATTCATCATACAATATATTATAATTTACTTAACATAAACATTAGTATAATTCAAAAAGTAATTCTTCAAAATATAGTTGATTGCTATACCACTAAAACACCAGCACAATAGTATGTAGCCACTTATCAGATTACTCTGTACACGCAGAACTAAGCATTGATTTGCTAGTCTAAATTGTGACACTGTCGGAGCTGAGTTACCCCTATTTGCACATGACTGGTAGGATTACTCAGCTAGGTATGTGGTCGACTTTCCAGCACATACGGAGTGTTTTGGTACAACGTGGCCTCTTGTAGAGCTAATAACCACCTACAGCTGTGACATCTACTCCTGGAGTCGATTGTCTTGTTACTTTCTATGTGTCTCTAGTACCACCGGGTTCACTACTTCCCTTACAGGCATAGTAGTCCTATATCATTTGGTTTCGTGCACACAAGGCAGACAGTCATGGTAGTTCATTTAGCCCCGATCGCCTTGAAACGTTGAGCTACAGTATATTGACTGAATACCTAGGCTCAAACTCCCCAGCAAAGGAAGGCCAACGAAAGGTTCGCGAAGCAGGAATCTGCAAAGCGTGGTAAAGGCAAGACAGTTGTCAAGTCAAAGCAGACTCCAAGGTCGCCTGTGTCCACTGTGTGGGTGGGTATGTTGCGAACTGCTTTACGGCCACCTCAGTCACCAAGGCTAACTTTAGGACAGCCATTCTCGCGTTCGTTGTCTGTGGAGGAATCTTCCTTGAAGTTCTAGGGATCGTACCGAAGCTTTGGTCCACCGTGGTCGCAAGCGTCAGCCGCTTAATACTTTGAAACTATGAAAGCTTGTAAAGACTGTTAAAGTTGCTTTTAAGAACAGCGGCGGCGATAATAGTGATGCACCTAACTGATATCCCGAGTCTCTTGTTTTGCGCGTTCTTGTTTTACGTGCTACCGACGTTTTGGTATCTTATTATCTGTCATGCCGTGAAAAGCGCAGGTCGCATGTGCGGAACTTCTATTAGACACCACTATGGTGACTACCTGAATTTATTTCTCTTAATTTCAAGTTATATTGATTGACAGTCATCCTCAAGAAGATGTCACCACCCTTTGGTTTTTGGGCCTCTTCTTCTTCGGCTTGCGCTGACTATTTCCATCTAGAACTGGTTCATGCTTCTGTCCACTATCCCGAGAAACAGGGACCGTAGTCTTCTTTACCCGTTTCTTCTTTTTGACCAATGTTCCCTCGGAGGGAACTCCTGTTGGATGAACGCGCTCTGACTCCCTTTGCAATTCCAGTCGGAACCTTTCCACTTGCTGCATTGCCTTGGCCATTTCCGCATCATCTTCGGCCCTTGGGACGCTTCGCGTGTATCCTGAGGATACCCCCTCCTCCCCTAAAGTGAGGCGCTGTAAACCGCTGGAATCCACTAAAAGCGGTGACCGATTTGATTTGTTAAGGGAGTTAGTGTCTTTGACACCAAGCTCCTCTTCGTGTCCGATCATCTCATCCGGGATTACATGATATCTTCTAAGTCGTGATCCGGCCGTGGACTGGGTCTCTTCAGGCGGGGGAGAAGACATGTGATCGCTGTGTCGTTCCCTCGTTTCACTCAATTTGAGATCAATAATAGGAATGGCGTCGATGTTTAGCTCGCCTTCGTCCGAGATCTGCAACTGGGGCCGGGAGGGCTCAGATATAGCGGTCCACGCATCTTCGGTTCCAATGTAGAATGGGTCATCTCGAGTGCGCTCTTTTCGGTAGTGTTTCCGCCTTACAAGGGCGGCCTGATCATCTAGATGATCCAGTCCGGTGGTCGCAAACGGCATCAGTTGCAAATCATCTGAGGTGCTGTCCATGCCCTGCTTATCCGGGACAAATGTCTCTCGACTATAATAATATTCGTGGAATGGCAGTTTACTCTCTTTCTCGTGAGAATTCCCTTGTTCATGACTGAAGAGCACCCAAAGATCTTCGTTAAATGTCTGGTGTAACTGCAGCTCGTCTGGCGATTGAACTTTCTTCTGGGCATTAACAGAGACCGGGTTTAGCTCGAGGCCATCGAAAAGACCAGGGATCACTGAAGATAGCAAAAATGGGATATCGTGGGCATCTAGACTCGTTGAATGTGCGGCGTCAGCTGCCAATCGCATAATCTCTAGAAACTCGATGGCCCTTTCCTGCACATTCAAATCTGGATGTGCCCCCAGGGCTTCCAAGAAGTCGATGATTCGGGCCAGGTTCAGTGCAACCTCGCTCCTTTTGCTCGAGCTCCAGTCTCGACCACCGCTGCAAACGATTTGGGTGAATATCTTCGGTATAGCTTGGACGTAGAGGGAAAGAGTTTTTGCTGGCAATGAAACGTTGGACACGTCTATTAACGAGTAAAGAGTCTGTCTAGGCGACGAGAGGTATTGAGCATACTCCCCAACGACCCATGCAAGGGGGCCTAGAGCACTATTGTTCGACATTGGTACTCCAGAGAACAGGGTCTGCCTGTTGTCAATAAGAATTAGAGACTCCGCAGCCCTAGTCGCTTCCATTCGAACATCTCGAACACGGACAGCAATATTCCGTATCTCTGAGCCAATTCGGTCCGTTATATTGCTCTGAGACAAAGTTTCTTGCTCATTATGTGTAGCATTCGTCATAAAGGTATCCTCGCTGTCTGCCGGGAGAAGGGTCACCAGCCGTATCAGCACGTCCACATACCATTCGAAGTCTGTCAGGTTTGAGTAATTGTCAAAGGAGCATATATCTAAAATGCGATGTATCACTTGAACCCTGTATTCTGGCGGCAATATAAGTGGCGCCTTATTCGTCCATTCACTTCGCTGCTTATCATTCTCCCATTCGGGGTACCCATCCCCAGGTTCAAGGTGGCTTCCCTTCTTGAGTGGCCGGGAATCCATAAGCTGGGAAATCAGCCGACCAACGATTGACTGTAGGCTATCACTCGTGACCATTCTTGCTGCAAGCTCAAGTGCTTGGAGACGGATGGATATATCGGCATCATCTAAGCAATGCATTATCACATCCTGTTGCAATGACACTAGGCCTGGATATGTGAGCACGATCTTGTTGAAGGCCAGGAGCGCCACATATTTGACTTGTGCTTCTCTGTTAGCCTCTCTTCTGGTTCAATTATTCTTATGTTTGTGTTATAGAAGGAGCGCTCACGGTTTGGATCCGAGTCAGAAACTACCATGCCCCGAAGTTTGCCAACACACAGACTTGCAATTTCATCCTTTTCTTCGATCCCCGCATCGAAGTCAAGTATACCGCCCTGAATCAGACCGTTGATGCACTCATAGAGTAATGACATTGCCGTGGTCGTTTGGATTATGTTCACCAATGGACGGTGCAGCTTTCGTATCAATCGCGGTTCGAGAGGCGTCAGAGTCGCAAACTATGACTGTTAGGAACGTGATATGATCTGAGCATGGGGACCAACGTACGAGCTTTATTATCTTGATGGCCATCCAATTATTACCTCCATCTACCAGCAGCTCAAAGAATCTTGGAGCAAGTGGCAGAAAATCATGAGGCCTCCGCCACCCTAATTCACATACAACGTTGAGCACAGCCGTAGTCACACTGGTGTCCTCCTGGTCATCCATGAGCCTCTCCTTGAGCTTAGGCCATGCTAGTTTGAGTGCATCAGGGTAAGCTAAAGCCAGTCTATAGAGACATATGATAGCCTTCTTCCGCACCACGGAATGGGAGTGAGAGATTCGAGACAAGACGTCTGGAAGTAAAGACATTGAGAGGGATGTCGTTGCGATGTTTGGCAGTGTGATCAGTGGAAGGGACATATTCGGTATACTGTGAGACACGAGATCCTATAATATGCTAGTCAGCGGAAAGTTGCCACTTCATTGAATGGGAGTCTATGACCTTTTTTAGAAGGTTTGTTGCAAGCATCAGCACCTCTGTATCTGGTCTGAAACTCTGGACTGCTCCGAGGTACCCAGCGCGTTTCTGTAGATACTTCGCGGACGACATGACCTCCAGAACATGAAACGATGCCCACGACATGTCATAACCAAACATCTCCAAGTATATTAGTTTGAGGAGTGCTGTGGCCTTTTTGTCTACCAGGAGTAAGTTTTAGGCAAGCCGAGCTGAATGAATGAACGCACGTACCCATATCCTGTGATCTGATTTCGGTCTTGCATTCTCGCAAACTGTCTTGTATATATTCCTCCTCTGTTCCTTTGTGGTGTCGGAGACCCTTTATAAGATCATAGAGTGATTTCTCAAACCTGGTTTGACCCGGATTAGCATTTGGCAAGGATATCAGAGTAACGGGTGCTGACATTGTGCCTGGGCTGATACTGGCGCTCGAACCCCACTGGCATTTGGTAAGGCTTGTTGATGTTGGTTGGATTAATTCTATTAGTACCTGCAGACGTTGGGTTACGTATTCTGGTATGAGACACTGGGCATGCGAGGTAGGCGCAGTCACATAAGTAGCTCACGCCATACAATTTTAAGTACAGACTACGGAGTACTACTCGCGTATCTGCGGAGTAGCTAGTTGTCTAATACCTATACCGGGCAGTCGGCGGGTAATATTCCTCCTTGCCCAAGTTGGTTAGTTAGTTAGTTAACTGATAATCAACCAATCAAAATGTTAGTTTCTAATGCTCAGCTAGTACCCGCCTGTGCCAGCCACCCATGTAACGCCATACAAAAGACATCTTTCTTAGATTAAGCTATATCCATCACAAGATCGGCATAGTAGTAATTGAGATAAAGTACTTCGTGTATATCTTATATATATTATGACCAAATGCTAGTATATTTATGAACTTCGAATCATACAAAATATTGTAAGCATGAAATCTATATATTCAAGCTTCTATAATAGTATTAATCAATAGTAGATGAAAGACTCTAAGAAAACTAGATAAGTTACTACAGAGACTAAATGTATCTGTTCGGTATTTCACATTCAAATGGCTCCTACACTTATTGATCTATCTAAATTTTATAAAATGACACTTTTATAGTAAGTACTGCAAGGGAGGATGAGAACTACGTACGTACCCATTTTAATTAACTAGATACGGCAAACTGACAGCTGACTAACAGTGTTACTTGAATCCTATTGGTTTGTTGGGCCATCCATGTACTAAGCAGTACAGTACTGATGCCCCTAACTACTAAGTACTAGTCACGGGAGCTACCAGCATAAAGAAAGCGATACCTTGGTTGACCGATAATGTTGGACAACATGAATACTACCACCTGGCAGCATTGTCGAATCAAATCATTTCCATCTCTGGCTAGCACATCAACAGATTTTGGCTTGGATATTCGCATTCTATCCTGACCCAAATATCCTCCTCTCACAAAAACAAGATCAGAAACTGTCACTGTGGAACGTCGTGGTACCTCTAATACAGTCCTAGCTACTTCATCGCCGGCTCCATAACATGCAGACGACTCCTGAGCCCCATCTCGCGAATGGTTCGAATTTGATAACCACTTTCCATCTGGCACAGAAGGCACCTCTCATACTTAAGCGTCAGTCTTCCAGTGTGGAAACGGTCGCATCCTCATCGGTACGAGGGATTGAGAACTATGGTGTAGTAGAGCAACTTTTGTTTTCATGCCTACAGTCGGGGGACGACAAATCTGCGCTACTTTGTACTGAGCAACTAGCAGCTCGATTTGGCATGACTGATGAAAGAATAATAGGATTAAGGGGCATGTATGAAGAAGCGGTCGCCGAGAATCCTACCAGACTTGAAGAATGCTTGCAAACATATGACCTCGCGCTTTCCGAAAACCCCGTAAACCTGGTCCGTCCTCCCTGCCTCTCAACAGACTCGATGCTAATATACAAGGAAGCCCGTACTAAAGCGTCGGATCGCGCTCCTACGCTCGCTGTCCAGGCCTGTGGATGCCATTTCTAGTCTCATAAACCTCCTAGACGCAGTCCCAACAGATGCGGAGGCTTGGTGCGAACTCGCAGATCTCTACCACTCTCAGGGGATGAGCTCACAAGCAGCTTTCTGTCTTGAGGAGGCCTTATTAATTGTGCCAAATTCTTGGAATGTATGAATATAGGATCGTGGGAAGGGCAGCGAGCCGAAAGCTGACTCAATCCACCTTTAGATTCATGCGTTCCTCGGCGAAATCTTGTATTCGGGTGCCTGTGCTTCTGAAACAACGGATTGTTCCCAGCTTTTGGAGGTGTCGATACATCATTTCTCTCGCAGCATAGAACTCTGCACTGATTATTTGCGGGGATTTTACGGATTGGTTTCAGTAGGGCCCCTAATATTTTTTACCTTGATTGGTGTTGAATACAAGACTGACGCTGAAGCAGGCGACGTCCCTACTGGGAAGGAGAAGACGTCTAATGGATCACTCTCGTGACTCTTCACCGGCTCAAGCAAGCCATCTCACTGACAAGCTCCTGGACGAGCTGACCCTTTTCGCAAGAAGCAGACTCGATGAGATTGTGAGATCCCGTTCTTCAGACCATCAGGCTTGGAAGGATAACCAAGGCGAGCTTATTGCGGCGAAGGAGCTCCTTCACCGGCTCGACAAATCTCCCCTATAGCCTTTCTGTCACGTAAAATGAGTGTCTCGTGGCGCTCTGCAATTGCAATAATATTCCGTTAGCTGTCGAGCCCACAATAGTTAAGCATTGCTCTCGAGCAAATAGATAGGTAAACGTTTCTCTCCCCATATATATCTCTTACAAACATCGCGAATAGCTTGACATCAGGTCTAAAATGGCCTACATGTCTTCCTATCTCTCTTAACACTACTGCCTGGTTGTTATTCATTATTTGCATTTATTCTTGCTAATTCAGTTTGTGTCTAGAGAGCGGATCCTTCTAGAATCTGTGGCATGACAGCGATGAAATTGCTTTGGATTCAGACCGGTGGAGCTTGTCTTAGGCCATCGGGCGCATAAAACGGGTTGATCTTGTACTTTGTGTGAATGTTGCCCTTCGTAATTATGGGTCTATACTTCGTAGTGACTAGTAGTACTGTGTAGTAGGGCCGATCGAATCGCGCCGTCACACCTCGCAGGTACGGTAATCAGTTGTTACCAGGCATTCAAGTTGACTAGGCGTCTTTGCGAATCTCCCATTCGACACTGACGTACTTGACGACGCATGCAATTCTGATTTCCCCTGCTTATCTATCACTGTACCTGAAGACCGGCTATTTACTTCTTGGAGGTGTATATAAATAAGCTACATACACACACCTGACCTTAAAAGATACAAATAGTGCACTGAAGTTACTGATAGACACATACACACACACACACAAAGACACAGAGTGGGGATCTGTTGCAAGTAGCCTGGCATTCTGGTGGGTAGCACTCACTCTGTTAGTCCTACGTACCAGTATCATTAGTGGAGACCGAGTACGGACTGTACAATACCTCAACTCGACATGGAAATGATTGGGCATTTGGGCAGCGGACTGGCTAACACCTGAAGGGAGAGAGGGCTGCCAGCTCAGTGCCTAATAATACCTTAATAATAGCCGTGACGCCATCTTAAAATCAAAACTTGCCCTCGATTTATGTCTGGCTTGCCCGAAGATCCACTACCGAAATCCCAGTAGGCCCAAACAGTTGATCTAATCGGGCCGTCAACTCTGCATTCTTCGTTCGTTATATTTTCCCCGTGACAAGGTGTTTCGTCCCATCCCCGCTTCGTGCTTCCCTGCTGTTCATTCCGGACTCGTTGCGCTATATGCGAGACGCTCCCTTCCTCTTTCATTCCTATTTGCTTTGTTGCCTGGCCTCAGACTCGAAGTCCTGCTGTGCTCCGCAGCTGATGGGCACCCGATCCCACTAAATTTCAACCTTAAATTCCACGTCCAATTGCACACCCGGGAAATCTCATTTGGATGGTACTCGCCACTATCAGACATAAACAATGAATACTACCTTTATACCCCTCGGCCATTAAGGGTTAGGACGTCTCATACAACTCAGGCTAGTCTGCAATTACCCAACTCGTGAAATACATATAACAGTCAACTTATCTCGAGCCTGATTGCCGCCGTTCAATTAACACCGGCGCATTTCGGATACCTTGAAGTATCCCACTCGTTTCGCTGATTTGAACTCATTGCGTGACCCTGTACAAAACTTGAATTCCAGAAGTGAGGGTGATGAAACGGAATCAAGGACTACTTGGCATCCATCATGACGTGTGTCTCATCCCAAAATGAAACCTGATAGTCACGCCAACTAACTTACCTGCAGGCTCAATATTACCATTGGTCCTAGCGCACACGGTTCAGACCGTTCCTCCATAACTGATGAGGAGGACTCCTCTGGAGTACAGGTATCTCCAATTTCCGACTCTGAAAGCCACGGCTACAATGACCCTTATGAAGAATGGGCGCATCTCACGTATCCCGACGAATTAAAGCCGTCCGATTCAGCATCTCGGCCCCGGACGTCACGTCATCCTCGCCCTCACAGTACGATACGTGGCCCGACCTCGACCACAAGCCGCCGACACTCAGCAAGACGACATATGGTTCAGGAACGGGACGCGTACACCCGTCGTTCTCGCCGACATCCTTCGCCAGATTCGCCTGAAAGCGCTGACTCGGCGGATGAGTACGGAGGGCCTTATGGTCACGCAGCACAAGAAAGACGATACTGGTCAACCGTACCTCAAGTTCCGGGCTACGCCCGCAGTTCGTCACCTGGGCAGTCATACGTTTATCCTACCGGGCCTGGTATTCCCCACGGGCAGTTCATGCACCCACCTGGTTTCCCCTCTCCATCAGACCAACTTGTCAGACTAGGCCATAATGGTCAAGCCCCCCAGCAGACGGCGTACCCTCACCCTGTTTACGGGTATGGCGCTCAGTTACAGCAACCTCATGGCCCTCCTATACCCCCATTCTTCGTTCACGAGCATCACCCCGGTCATCATGCACACCAACTTCCGACAGCATCCCATGGCCGAGGAGAGGGTAACAACCCACCTCAGCGCGCAATGTCTCATATGTCGACTCATGGTCCCCCTCCATATGGTGGGCCACCTTTGAGCCCTCACGAACTGGTCCCTTATGGCTCAGGGGGTTATTACCCTTATCGGGAACCATATTCAATGGTTCCTGGGATGATCCCTCCATACTTCAACCCCTATCCACGCGTGCCTTCTCCAAGTCAAGTCGAGTCGCCCGAGTCGCCCGCCCCCGCCCCTGTTGATACAGTGAAGGATGAGGCTATCGCAAGGTTGGAGAAGTTGATAATGGAAGAAAGGACCGAACGCGAGGCCCGTGAAGCCCGGGAAGCTGCTCGACAAGCCGCAATCGAACAAGAGGCCGCAGAACAAGCCGCCAGAGAGGAACGAGCTGCATATGAAAAGAAGATCACAGAGGAGGCTGCAGCGCGAGCTAGAGCAGAGGCCGAGCAAAAAGCTGCTGAAGAAGCCGCAAAAGCAAAGCAAGAGGCGGAAGAAGCGGCGGCAGCGGCGGCGGCAGAAGCAGCGGCAGCAGCAACAGAGGCTGCGAACGCAGCAGCGGCAGAGGCAGTCGCCGCAGCGACAGCAGCCGCAGCCGCAGCCGCAAGCCCACCTCCTCCAGAGAAGAAAAAGCCTATAAAGTTCAAGGATGCTATAGGAAGAAAATTCAGTTTTCCTTTCGACTTATGCTGCACTTGGCAGGTAATGCACATCCCGCCCCATGCACTATATGTCTTGAAAGATTGTATATCTGACTACAGTATCCATTAAGGGAATGGAAGAACTTATACGTCAAGCTTTTCTTCATATCGAGATAATCGGACCTCACGTTGCCGAGGGTCACTATGACTTGATAGGACCCAATGGTGATATAATTCTTCCCCAGGTCTGGGAGACGGTCATTGAGCCCGACTGGACTATAACGATGCACATGTGGCCTATACCCGAGAAGCCAAAGACCCCCGAACCTGCCCCGCCACCTGAACCTGTTTCTCAAGAGCCGCCGCCTCCCGAGGTTCCAGAAGCGCCCTCTGAGGAAGCTGTCATTGTACTTGAAGAGCCCAAAAAGAAGCCGGAGCCGGCAGGTACGAAACCCAACCAACCCCCCTTCATATTTTCTGTTATAATGAACCAATCTTTGATTATCGTCATACACATGCTTCTTCTGATCTCATACGTCCCACTAATCAATTTATAGGTTCCAAAAAATCACGCACCAAGGCCTCTGACCCTGGCCCACTTGCATTGTGGATGGTTGGTGGTAATCGTTTGCGCCTAAACAAGGCTTTAAAAACGGGAAAAAAGCCTAAAGCAGTCTATCACGGAATCTCTTGCCGTGTCATGTGAAGTTTCTCGAGTTTACGGTCTGTACTCACATATCACAAATCCGTCTATCTATATGTGTATACGATCGGACTGGACTATTTTTGAGGAAGCAGCTCCATCCCGATTCGGGAGATATTAACACGAGGTACGTGTCATTCATTACACCATAGCTCATCACCAAGTTCAGGAATACTAACCGGATCATTGTCTCATACAGTAGTACTTTGTGTGACATGTGTTGTGAATCTCGAGCTTTCTTCACTCTTGTCTGCTTTAGTCGGGGCATGGCTTTTCCTCTCGATTATTCGGGATTGGTTTCTCATGCCCCTGGGGTTGGCTGATGATACCTCTTTACTTCAATCTCTTCATGCCTCCTTCCATCCCCCAATCTTTCTCTTTCCTTGTCTACTTCGGCAGTAACCTGCTATCCATGTCATTGTTTTAGAACTCCACCATCAGATGTTTCTTATATCGAATACGAACATGTACATATACCCATAGAGTATTGCTTGTGACCGAGTGTTATATAACATGTCTATCTATTTACCAGACCTTTCAATCTTCAAGCCACCTTACAGGTGTCTAGATGCAATACAAAACCAAGTCAATGAAGGGCGCCGAGTAATCTGATATCTAACTATCACAGCCCTACAAATGAAGTCACAGGACGTGTCACTCGGGTGTAAGCGGCCTCCAATTTAGGTCATCGCTAATGGCCTCCCCAAGAAGGTCTTTCGTATTCGTATTTGGTCCTCTTTCCGGAGATTCAATGCTTACACTGGGAGAATCCAGGTCTCTCCGCTTTTGCTCGAAAACATATTGGTCATCTTTGAGCCACTTTTCCGTTGAAGAGTCCCTCTTCCGCAGGGAAGACTTGGAATCAGGCCGTGGTGGCAACCGAGGATTTTCCGCATTGGTGTTGCTGTTGCTTTCGGCAAGTAGAGGGGTAGGACACCAATTAGCAGGTCCGTCACATAAGAAGGGGTTCGAGTCCCGATGGATATTTAACACATAATCCTTGGCCGGGGGGGCTAACTGCGACTTCACAGGGATGCCTTAAGCATATAGATCAGTATATTTATTCGAAGAACGGTCAAGGATTGATGAGTACGTGATATTGGTTCTGTAACCTAACATACCATGGTTTAACCACCATTTATATTGCTCAGAGCTAGCAGGTGGAAGTTCCGAAGCAATGTGCTCAAAAGCTATCAACTCACCATCCACTTTTTGTACCTGAGTCGTCATGTCACCGAGCCTGAGATTGTTTTGTCGTTCTTTGTATAGGGATTGCTGGATCTTGCTCTTTCGGGCCTCATCGACAACATTGATTATGCATGTGAACACAGCCCAGACTGGGCGATGATCCGAAATTCGGAGATCTGCAGAGCCATAATTTATTTGTCGGAGATTGGTTCCTCTCCAAAGAATCCGGTCACACCATGCGGGAATACGCGCCTTTTCCCTATAAGCGGTTAGCTACCTTCGAATATATCGTCAACGGGACCCTTACGAGTTATCATAGTCACTTCTACCGATGTTATATTTGTAAGTCGGCGGGAAGCTAATAGGCCCTTCCGTGTAGAATTGGAAAGCCCTACCCGCCACCATCTGTAAGTTCAACTGCGCTTTGTTAATGAAGGTCCACAAGCCTTGCAAGAGAAGCACAAACCTGATCATTATCGTATAGCGTCTGAAACTCTCCTTGCTGCACAAGCTCCCTCGCTTTCTGATTACTCAGACCAATGCGATAATTGAAGTCCCCTAGCCATATGACAGCATCATGGTCCTCGATTGATCTGTTCCTTAAAAACCTCAGACCGCGAAGAATAGTCTCATAGTCTCTATTCCTCTCGTCGTAGTTCGCAAAGCCAGCAGCAAGATGGGCGGTAACGAAGCAAAGTCGAGTGTTAGAATATTCAAAGCGGATGGCACAGCCTCCTTTATTACCAGCCATTCCCGAAAGGCCCGTCTATGCGGGTCAGCTGAATTGTCTCACAGAGTACTGATGGTTCATACCTTTTTAACGTTTCCCTCAACATTTTTTATATCGCTTAAAGCATCTTCTCTCGCATATATCATTAAAGCAGAGCCCACAAGTTGGCCACTTCGCAAGAGGACATACTTGGGAGTGCCCATGGCATCTGCACGTTTGTTGAGGCAGGTGTGTACTGCAATCTCCCACGCCTTACGGGTGGTAGGGTCTGTGGACATTATCTGCTGTGGACTTAACGTGACGATTTCTTGAAAACCGACGGCGTAAATCAGGGGGTCCTCGCCCTGAGAATCGTGCTTTGGGAATAACCATGCCCTCAAATCACCATCGGGTCCTTCATGGCGCCCATTGACATTAAATGTTCCCGTCCAAACCGTGACAGATTTAGAATAAGAAAATTCCTCAGAGCGTTGACTTAGTTCCTCTAACACGAGATCATTGATCGGGTCGTAAAGATGTACTGGAACTTGGTCTGTCAACCGTCCCAATAGAAGATCAATTGTGTTTTGACGGGCCTTGTCCGCGAAGTTGTTGACATAAATCCGGGTAGCTGTTTTGCGCGCATCGGCGAGTGCCCCAGCAATGGACATTTTCCCGTGTCTTGTGAATGAGCTTTTCAGAGCACCAGTTCCAGCGTACATTTTTGATAGGGCGTCTCCATTATCTGCCCAGAGAGTCGAGTGGCGCAGTTGCAAATCGGGGCTAATCGTTCCTACTTGTTGACTGAAGAATATTTCAAGCGCCATTGAACTGATGATTGTTTGTACTAGGTTAGTCCTGTCGAGACAATCCAGGCAATTTGTTCTGAAAACCCCCTCTTGTTGCAGGATTACAGGAGCATTTCTTGACGTATGGTGCTTGTCATATAGAGCTACCGGTCCAATTTCGCCGGATTGAAAATATGCGAAACCTTGTAAAGAGTCGAAGATTTCCTGCCTTATCTGAGCGCTAGCTCCATATCCCAATGGCCCTCGCGCTTCCGCATGGAAATCGAACTCTGTTACCTGCAGCAGAGTGTGATCCGATGAATGCTTATTGAGTGGGCTATTCTGTAAGTGGTTCCGGAACCTAGTCGTGAGACTATATTCACCGGGCTTCAATTCACTGAGAAGGTTAACCACATGAATTGCTCCATAATCTAGTTCAAGAGATCTGAAATGTTTGTCGAAGGCATGCTTCGTTGCCTCAACAGATCTGGTTATCTCGATCTTTTGCTGACCAGGAAGGAATCCTGTGGCCTGCTCCCAGAATATAGGCACTGAGCCACGAACCTGAACATAGGAAAAAACAATGTCAGGTGGGATCCAGAGTATGGTCTCTGTTTCCACGAAATTGGCGACGTGACCATCGTCATCGATGCCTCGTGAATTGAATCTCGTACCAGCACGCCGAGACGACTGGCGCGATATTATTGTTAATGAAGACGGAAGGTGCGTTTTGCGGGTACCAGGCAAGAGTTGAGTAGAGGCAGGAACAGTCAATGTCCCACAGTATCCCCGTATGACGCACGTCAGAATTTGAGAGGAGTCGAGATGCTGCTTTTCAACCGAAGACAGCTGATTTCTAAAAAGGAGAAGTGGGTGTATCATGTACGAATTCCACAGCATGTCTCGATCAAGAGACTCTATGTCAAAAATTCCCGTTTCGTCTGAGCTAGAGTTCATCAGTTACGGTGCCATTTGACAGAAAGGGGTTAACTCACCGGTCCTGCAATCGATCAGTAAGATTAAACTCACAGCTGTAGTAGAAGCTGCCGTCACTTAAAAGCTTCTTTAGAGCTAGGAAGGGAAAGTCTGGATTCGTCTCTTTGCTCTCAAAGTTAAAGTCATGGTCGAGGTCCTGACCAGCGATGGAGGACTCCAATTCGTAGTCAACTCTGTCATCGTATTTCGAATGATTTAGGCAGACTTCTCTTTAAGGTCAATTTCTGCACGACAGTGACCAACAGAGACCATTGGGGGCTTACAGAAATCCACACTGTGTATTCTCAGGACAGTCTCTCCAGGCCTGATGGATGCGGCCTTGGAGGAGCCAGTGACCACGCACAGAAAGACTTCATTATCTAGTGTAACCAAACCGAGAGTCCCATGTCCATCACCAATGACCCTGTAGCCTTTCAGGTCCACAGATGATAGGGGAGCAAATTCAACCAAGCAGCGCGGCGGAGTCTTGAGATGAGACGCAGTGTTGACATCCGCTCCTGCCAAGCTATGGCGAAAGATAAGTACGTATTCAGATGTGGCTAATGCAATAGTACGATATGGATAATTTTGAGTATAAATGCGTAGCCCGGACATTGTTAACTTATGACTGGATCCTCCTCGGTCCTCATGATGGAGCGCTCAACTTAAGTCCAGATTGCAGCACACGCTTCGGTTGGCACTCAAAGCTTGGCACTCTTGCTACCAGCATTGCGGCGCGGTCTCAAGTTTGCATGAGCGAGGGCTAGCAAGAAGTGTTGTGAGAAGTACAGCGATAATGCAAATTTTGCATTGAGACTACATTGGTATTTTACGACCGAATCTTGCCTACTTTGCAGGTAACGCAGAATCTATACTGATACGGATGCAATAGCCAACAGGTGTCTGCCATGAAAGCTGACGAGAACGGAATTCAGTGGCTACAGGAGACCATATGCTGTTCTACATATCATGAGTCTCAGTGAATTAATATGAACAGCAACTTCGACGGTCTTTCTTCTAAACAACTGAGAAGACAGAGATACCTAGTGACACCTAGTGACACTTGTGACTTCGGAATCTTTTCGAGAGATTGCGGATGTGAATTTGGAGGAACCCCGCAGTATCCATTTGCCCCGGGTCGAGACCATCTACAGTCACCGAATAAAGTAAGCGGTCACGGTAGGCCGCCGGAGGAAATTTTTCAAGGTTTCTTCTCGATCATTATCAATGTCATGACTTCTCTGTTTTACTCCCCTTAATTACCATCCTTGCTTTCAATCTTACGAATCCGCACAATTTTGCATAATCTTTGGCGATAGAAAAGGAGAATAAAAGTCCGTGAAAAGGGGCTAGAGAATCCTAGGAATCCAATTTACCTACTAAAAGGTGAAATAGGGCAGTGGAAACCGAAGTGCACTTTCACTCCTTTGTTGAATTCTTGAAATCGCTGCCTTACTCTATCGCAGCAAATGGGACTTGCAGCACCTCGCAAGTATGTTTTCACGGATTATTTCTATGTCCTCCACTATCTATCTTTGCGGTGTTCTGACCAGGCAGTGACCTAGGAAAATCAAAATCTCCCATGACCCCAATAATACCAATTGGGCACGGTCAACAAGCGGTTTCGGACACAAGATCTTGAGCTCTCAAGGATGGACACC